GTTTCTCCACACGCCTGAGGTGCCTGCTGGCACTTCCCAAGGAGTGAGGACTCAGAGGGGCTCGGGGGGTCTGGGCATCTGTCCCTTTCCTCTCTGTGTGGCTCTGGCCAGCTGCTTGGCTTCTGAACCTCAGTAGGATGGTACCGAGGACCCAACCTCACCTGTTCCTCAGGGAAGCCAATGGTGGTAGGGGAGGGGTGGGCAGTCAGCCTGCTTCAGCTTTGTACCCCAAACAGGCCCAAGCCACAGCGGAAGTGAGACTCAGGCCCTCCTACCCAGCAATACATGGGCCTAGTGACCGTTTATCAAGCAGATGTCACAATAACAGCGACAAATACTCACATAGCATCGAGTGCCAGCGAAGCCCTGTTCTTAGCCTATCACATGCATTAACTCACCTACTCCTCTCGACCCTTTTGAGGTGGGCCCTATTATTATCCCATTTTACAAATGAGAAAACTGAGGCACCGAGAGCTGGGAAGTGGCAAAGCCAGGGTGGAAGCCAGGTATGGGCAGTGCCAGGTGCTATTTGTATGCAATCTGGATGCTGATGAAGAAACACTGGGGCCCAGAGAGACTGAGCCATCAGCCCAGGTAACATGGCACGTGGGGACTGGCCTCGGCCTGTCTTATCCTGGAACCTGGCTCAGACCTCTCACTTCCACAGTCACGCCTTTTCCTTGGCAGGGGTTCCTCTTCCTCCACACTAATCCAGAGGTGGGGGATGAGAGTGGAGAAAGGTTTGGCTCTGATGAAAAGGATACATAGGGGTTGGTCTCTGAGGGTAAACCGTTGAGCTCAAATATGTTGAGGAGGTCATAGAACTGGCCATGGGTGTCCCCGCACACTGTAATCTTCTCTGTCTGGAAGAAAAGAGGCCACCGGAGAGGGAGGGGCCCAGAGAGACACGTGGGGAGAGGGTGGAGGTGAGGGGAGTGGAAACAGGTCACAGCAGACCGAGCAGAGCCATGTGGAAGATGTGGGCAGGAGACGCAGAAATTAAGAGAGTAGGACAGAGACCAGGAGGCCAGGAGAGGAGAGGGACATCAGGAGGAAGACACAGGGGTAGGGGGTGTCAGGGAGAAAGGGAAGGTGGGTTTGTGAGTTCCTGAGCTCCATGGCCCCTCCCCCCGCCA